AAATCTAATATGATTAATGTAAATATTAACACCTGGTGGATTGACTCTAGATCTACAATTCATATTGCAAACTCCTTGTAGAGTATGTAAAATCTAAGGAAAACAGTGGGAAGTGAGCAAAATATCTTATTTAGAAACAAGATGGGCTCACATGTGGAGACTATAAGAACTTGCATTTTAACTTTAAGTAGTGGCTTTGTTTTGAAATTAGATAGTACTTTTTATGTTCTAAATTTTTCACGAAGCTTGATCTCTATTTTTAGACTTGTACCATTAGGATATTCCTTTAATTTTTCAAACGTGACATTCAATGTATTGTATAATTCTGATTGTGTTGGGAATAGTATTTTGTCTATTGGTGTTTATCATATTAATTTACAAAATAATATCACTTATAGTTCAATGCATGTTCACACTAACACTAAACGGTGTAATATTAACGAAAACTCATCTATATTGTAGCACCAGAAATTAGGACATATCTCTATAGAAAGAATTAAAAGGTTAGAAAATGATGGGGTACTTAGTACTCTAAATTTCACTGATTTTGACACGTGTGTAAAAGCTCAAGAATAGCTAACCAAGAGGAGGTGAATTGGTTTTCAAAACTTTTTCTAAAATAAATTCAAGTCTTAAAACAATATACTAGCAATTATAACAATTCAACTAATATGCACAAATATAAAGATAATTAAGAACGAGCAATTTGAGCAATGTAAATACGGTAAGTAAAAGAGAAGAAAATGCAAACGATGTAGTTATGGAGGTTCGATCTCAAACACGATCCATTCCCCCATTACCAAGTTCTCCAATTGCATGGCCTATTTCACTATATTGATTGACTTATAGTGCAATCCAACCCTTTACAAAACTTTCGATGACTTATAAACAAAAAGTATCGATCCTTTTACAACGTTGAGCTTTCCGGGATCTCAATACGACCCACAATTCAAATAAATTTACAAATGAAATCTTCTCTTCTTAATGAATGATAAATTCAAAGTTGAGTATAAGAAGAGAAGTAGGCTAACACTTTAATAGATAGCTACGAATAAAGCTCTTAAGAGTTAGATTTGAAAAACTTTGATGAATGAAATGATTTTCAAAGTCCAGATCAATCAAAAGTTTTTCAAAACAAAAATGATTTGATAATAATAAGTAAGATGAAAAATCAATACAATTTTAGCTCAAAAGAATCTCAATTGAATACTCCAAAATCCATGAAATAAATGACAAGTGAGTTGGTATTTATAGTAGTGAGAAACGTGGAATTTTCTGTCAAACCGGACAAGCATCCGAAAGTCCGGAACAGTACCAAATGATTGAAAATAGTCGTTGCAAGTCAGAGTCAGAACGGTCGAAATTTTGACCATTGGGGCAAAACCAGAAGTCCGGATGGCCAGAAAATTTCTTGGCTTCTTTTTTTTGTTTTGATTGCAGCCAGTAGGTTTTTTACATGACATTTTTACCAGATATTTCAAGATAAGTGATGTTTAATAGAATTTAAAATTAAGTTGACAATCTTACCTTTGAAAAATATTTTTTGTGCAAACGTTTAACGAGGTGAATTTTTATCGTGCATAAAAAATTCATCACTTGAGCTTTTCAATAAATCATTGCTAGGAATTAAAATATTTTACCTTTAAAATTGAGTTCAAATATATAATTCTAATAACCTTAATTGATTTGGCGTGAGTGCATGATTTATTGCTCGATTTTGAATTTGACGCAAGTGCCCGATTTGTTTCTCGATTTTGAATTTGACGCAAGTGCTCGATTTGTCTCCGATTATTTTGGCACGAGTGTTTGATAGAGAATGCTCAATTTCCATACTCGATTGTGAATACTTGATTTCCAGTTTGAGATTCCAACCAAAGGTGTCCCCAAGACGCCATTTAAATTGCGACATATATGCGTTTGGAGATGTTCGTCTAATGTGAGGATCTATAATCCACAAAAGAAGAAGCTGGACTTAAAGACCTTAGTGGATATTTCATTGAGTATGCTAAAAGGTCTAAAGGATATAGATTTACTATCTATCTCACAACACTGGGATTGTGGAATCAACAAACACTAAGTTTCTTGAGAATGACTTGATAAGTGGGGGCGATCAAACAATGAAAAACGTTTCTGAGCATGATCATTTAGAATTTCAACCTTTCACCCTAGGTAACAAATTAGTCATAGTTCATAGCACCCTTCAAGTTGATCATAAAATTTCAGAAGCTATTGACAACGTTCAAGTAGATCAGGTAATTCAGGAATTACCAGAACTCCTGAACAAATAGTTGAACCACAAGCTTCTCGAGAAGATGATGATATGACATTAAGAAGATCTACTAGAATAAAAAGGTTAGCAATTCCAAGTGATTATAAAGTGTACCTACAAGAACCTGACTATAGTATTGGAACCAAAAATGATCTTGAGCCATTTTCACAAGCCATGAGTTGCAAAGAGTCAAAATTATGGTACAATACCATGAAGGAAGAGATAAGTTCCATGAAAAGTAACGGAGTCTGGGATCTTGTTGAGTTGCCTAGTGATGCCAAAGCTATCGGCTGTGAATGGGTCTTTAAGACTAAGAAAGACTCACTAGACAACACACTAAGCAACACTGAGATATACAAGATGAGACTTGTACTATGGGATTCACTCAAAATGAGGGAATCGATTACACAGATTCTCTCTGATATCTAAAAAAGATTGTCTACGTATTATTTTGGCATTAATAGGCCATTTTGACTTTGAGCTGCAACAAATGGATTTGAAAACGGCATCTCTCAATGGAGATTTAGATGAGCAGGTTTATATGAAGCAATCTAAATGATTCCCCTCTAATGATGGTGAGCACTTGGTCTCTAAGCTTAAGAAGTCTATATACGATCTAAAACAAGTGTTCCGTCAATGGTATTTTATATTCTATGGAGTAATTTCTTCATTTGGATTTGTTGAAAATCTCATGAATCAATGTATATACCAGAAGGTTAGTGGGAGTAAAATTTGTTTTCATATTTTATACATAGATGACATTTTACTTGCAACCAATGATAAGGGTTTGTTGCATGATGTGAAACAATTTCTCTCTAAACATTTCGATATGAAGGATATGGGTAAGGTATCTTATGTCATTGACATTAAGATTCATAGAGATAGATTATGGGATATTTTGGGTCCTTCTCAGGAAACCTATATCAACAAAATTTTAGAGAAATTCCGGATGAAGGATTTTTCGCCAAGTGTATCTCCAATTGTGAAAGGTGATACGGTCAATTTAAACCAAAGCCCAAAAATAATCTAGAAAGGGAACAAATGAAGAACATTCCATATGTTTCCCTGTCGGAAGCCAGATATATACTCAAGTTTGCACAAGACCTGAAATTGCATTTTTATAGGAATATAGGACAATATCAAAGTAATCCAAGAGAAGCAAAGAAAATAATTAGGTACCTTCAAGGAACCAAAAATTACATGCTTATGTATAAACGGACGGATAATTTGGAAGTGATTAGATACTCAAATTCAGACTTTTCTAGTTATGTTGATTCACGTAAATCAACATCAAGGTATATTTTTATGATGGTTGGTGGAGCTGTATCATGGAGGAGTGCCAAGCAAACCTTGACTGCTTTTTCCACTATGGTAGCCGAGTTCATTTCTTGTTTTGATATTACTTCACATGGTGTATGGATCAAGAGTTCCATATCCAAGCTTCAGGTTATGGATTCCATTTTTAGGCCATTAAAAATTTACTGCGAAAATTCAGCTGCTAACTTTATAGCTAAGAAAAACAAAAATGGTAGTCAAAGTAAACATATCAACATTAAGTATTTAGTCATAAGGGAACGTATTAAAAAAATAAAGTGGTCATTGAGCACGTAAGCACTGAATTGATGATCACAAATCTTTTGACTAAAGCCATGCCACTATTGAAATTCAAGAATCGTGTAGAGAAAATGGGACTTGATTCCACCATGTAATGGTATATACAATTTTATATGAAACTCTTATTTATTGTGATATTTTCTCATATTCATGTGTGCCTTGATTTATTTGAGAAAATACATTTATATAGTACCAAAGATAAGACATAAGGTTTTTTTCATTAAATATTGTTACCATAAAAAGAATAATTCTTGAGGAACTAAATACATTGTAATACATGGAAGATAATACTCGTTTTTAGAGGACTCATCGGCATGATTCATGTGCTTGTTTCTTAAGAAGGATAATCGATGAAATTGAGTTGAGACATTAGGTTGAATGTATGGACCAAATGGGAGAATGTAACATATCCGTTTCGTCCCATTCCTTCAATGATCAATTGACGGTCCAACATTCATGGAGTTTTCAGTTTCAACATTTATATGACTTTTAATTCCACCATTGAAAAATTGGTAACTTAAGCCATAATTTGATGGAGGTTTTGGCTATTTATAGATAGGTTTGGTCCCTAAGCTCCACCATCGAAAATACAGATGCACCATCAATTTGAGAGTATTGAAAGCTTAGAAGGGCCATTACCTGAAACAAAAGGAGAGTTTCGGAACAACATCAATGACCAAAGGTATGAGCGTCCATAAATTTTCGATTATTTGATCTAATTTGTTTCCGCATAATTGTTTTGGATCGATTTTTAGTCTAACAATAAAAGCATGCAAGCTAATATGATTGCATGAAATGTCCAAATTAATCTTAGAAACTGACAATTATGATGACGATAATAATAGCAACAGTCCGTTAATGGATCAAGTAATCCGGGGTGTTTCATTTACAGCTTAAGCAATGAATAAACGAAATTTCATGTGATAATTCCATAATTATAGTTTAGAAGAAATTGGCCTCTGCTCGTACATAAGAACGTGCAAACCTGAATCAAAGAAATCCATAAATCATCTAACTTCTCCATCTTTGCAATCTGTGCTCGACGCAACATCGCCTTATTCAAAGATCGAGGTTAAAGTAAGAGTTATCACACATCCACATTGTAGCTTTCGGGCTCCTATAAAAGAAAATGATCTATCATGTGTTGTATAACATCTGCACCTTCTGAATGCATGTATTGGTCTTTAACCTGCTTGACAGTTGAGCACCACCAATAGTCAGCTTCATAATTGTAAGTTACAATTCTGAGTTCAAACATTAATGACTAAGACAGACCGTGAAGACGGTGCTTTCTCTGCTGAAAACATTTTCAAGTGCAGAGAAAAATGTTGATATAATGCATGATCATTAGAAGCTTAGGTGAGGTAAGGAGTATTGGGTGTGAGGATTAACTTATAAATATGTATTTTATGGTCCGTGATTTTTCTACAATTTGGGAGTTTTCCACAAAAAATCTTTACTCCTTGTAATTTTTACTTTTCCCTATTTCTATCACTCTCTTCTTGCTGATATTTCTTGAAGTAGGATCCTGGGGTGAATCTGAATATAGGCTAAGACTTCAAACTATGTAATGCAAAGAATCTAACACTACAGCTCCCATGTAGGGAGCTATGAAAGCTCTATATTTCCCCAATGCAGAGTATATGATGCTGACTAACGTGTAGAAAAGATGTAATGATGTGTGCATCAACAATCAAATCTTGAGGGGGATGGAGAGGGAGAGAGAGAGAGACCTGAATGACACTATGGGCAGCAAATCTAAGCCTGCTGCTATGGAAGCTGACGTCTACTTTCTCCCATGACACACTAGATAAGCCAGTCACCAGTTCCTCTGCACCGCACAGCCAGAGAAAATTTATCTCACAGATGTAAGAAGGAAGCAAACAAGACCAGAAAAGCATTGGAGTTTGGGCAATACATAGAAGACAGAAGGATTGAAAGTAGAACTGAAGGTACATGGGTAGTGAAATCCCCAGATCGAATAGCTAATGGCCTAAGGTTTCTAAAAGGATGTAAGAAATCAAAAATGAGGAGATTTAAATAAATAAGGGGTGTTGGACCTCAAGGGGTTCTATAAACCCATAAAACGTAGAGGAATAATGGTGGATTCATTAATAGGATAAATTATTGTGTTTATAGAATTGTTGGAACACAAGTCGAGCTCGGGTAATTTGAGATTGGATTCATAATGCTGCAATAGGAGTCACTAGGCTATCTTTGATGGAATAGTCTCATTATAGAGTTACATGCAGCAGGCAGCTCACCCTACAGGCTATTGCACGTCATTTTCATCATTTAGCCAAAGGGGTTAAGCTCTATATTCCTATGGTTTAAGCCTTTAATGAGGAAATTGAGAGAAAAGACATCTGGTGAGATCTAATTCAGCTATATGGTCAACTACACTAGTCTTGAGTTCGAAAAATCAAGTATGAAAATTGCTTAACCACTGGGGTCCACAGTGCAATCCTAATTCCTCCGGCCAAAAACAAAAATATTAGTAATAAAAAGGAAAACACCTAGGCACCCAAAATAAAGTTTGAAATGAAAATGGCTACAGTTTATACCTAATGTTCAAAGAAATTCTTCTGACACTACGAACTCACTTTCTTGCATCTAGAATATCAATAGTTTTTATTCTCGACTAATTATATAATTTCAAAAATGAGGTAACTTGCATAGGCAACTTGAACAATATTTGACATGCTTTGTAGGGAGAAAGATAAAGTTACAAACCTTCCAGATTATCTAAACCATCATCCTCTGTTGAAATAGACTCTTGATGCTTCACATCTAGAGCCTTGCAGTGCTCTTCATAGACCACATGAGGATATTTTTCATCTACAGAATCCTCCCACTACAAGAAATGAAATATAATTGCCTACAACTGCATAAAAAAGTTAACGTGTGATCTCGATATCAAGATGAAAATAATACCTTTGGCAATTCATTATTCCGTCTAATTGATGAAGTTCTCCAGCCCACAATATCTAAGACATTTCGTTAGGAAGACAAGGAAGAATTCTACTAAGCATAAAGATAGAAAGTCAAATTAGCCCAAAGAGAGAGTAAAGTTGTTAAGATCCGTGAATTCTGGATACGGTCATAACCAACATTTGAGTATGCCACTCGCCGTCGGAATGATTGTAAAGCAGACCTGCAGTAGATGATGAGTTGAACAATTTTTAAACAGGTCCAAGTCATATTTTTCCATATTAGTATTCCATATCTTGAAACTGCCTGGACTTTCCAATCTGATTTACATGGACAAACAGGAAGGAAGAAACATACATGAATTCAGATTCTTCATGATCTTCCACCATGCGTTTAAGTAGTGGAGGCTTCCCTTCATCATCGTCTGTAAGAAAAAGGTGTCTTCCTGTTCTCCTAAATATCCAATGAATTACACGACCAGCAGCTTTCTCAAAAGCTGTTACACCAAACAGAAATGGTACCTGACAAAAACCAAGTAATGCTAAAGCAATTCCAATGACTATGAATGTACTGGCTTATTTTGATTTAAAGCACCTTAATGAAATGAGACATCACTGGAAAGCCAGGATTACAACATCCCTTCTTTCAAGCCCTTTGGGTAACAAATGGAAAATTTTTCAACCAAAATTGTCCTCTATTCGATAGAAAATTAAGTTTCCTTTCGATATAATCCCAACATAATCTTTTTTCTTTTCTTCTTTCACACATTAAAGATTCCACTCATATTCCCTCATCAAATCTTGGAAAGATAATGGTGCACTAAGCTCGTTTTCCTACCAAATTATTCTCATTCTCAGATTCAGTCTCTCATTTAAAACAAGTAGGCCAGAGTTGCATTGTAATAGGCATGTGAGCAGAATCCATAACTTTATTCTCTCAGAAGCAGCATGAACAGTGAACAAAAAGTTAAGTGATTTATCAAAAAACTCAAGAAATTGATTGAGATTATTTTATGATAGGGTGATAATCCTTGAGCTGCAAGTTCATAGAATATTTATTTGCATTTTGGAAAGCCTCAGTTCAAACTAAACACAACAAACAGTTCCAGGTTTGAACTTCTGAGATAATTCCAATAATGTCACATCAAGTACAACAAAGAATTATAAGCTTAACCAGAGCCCCAATATATTTGTAAAATTATCACCCTAGATTTCAATAAACAAGGTTTCAAAAAACAACTATTTTCATGGATCCCCACACTACCAATACATTTTGTTACTATTACCTCAACCATTGAAGTGCACATCAAGCATTCAAATTCTACTTAACAAAAGTCTCCCAACAAAAACAGAAAGTAATAATGAAAGCAAGTTATACCTGCTTATTACCCCGGGAACCAAGATGAGGAGTAGCAACAGTGATAAAGTTCATCGGTTCTAAACCAGCTATTGTACCCTTCAACCCTTCTTCACAAGCATTGGCTGATATCTCTTCTGTACTCTCCCCCTTTGGAGGTCTGTATAATCTCCCGATAGCATATCTTGCCACAAGGCCACCTACAGAATGTGCAACGAATGAAATTTTCCTTAAGCCAGGCTTCCTTTTGATTACATCGAGAACCTAAAATGAAGGTCAATGTTAGTACCTATACAATGGTAGACAGATCTCTTTTCATTGCTCATCTTTCAAATAATGGGCTTAGACCAAATAAAAATGCAAAGAAGAGCTCGCTAGCCCAAAAGAAAAACAACCTCCTCAGCTAGTCGCTCACCCATTACATCCACACCATCCAATGTTAGCTTTGACATATTTCGTTCACTACCTGTAACCATATAATGCTACATGAATAAATAATCACATACAAGCGACTTTTATATAATAAAAAAAAAGGACGAGAAAATGTCTAGGGATATTCCAGATATCACTTAGCTTATAAGAGTACATCTTGGCATGCTAATGATAATAAAACTCTAAATCCATTTTATTTTCTTTTTTGATTTACATAAAGTGTTTGTAAGAAAAAGGTAAGTCACTAAATGGGAATCATTATTCAGACTATCAAAATTCATGACGTAGCTACCACATCGTGTTTAGTATGGAACAACACAGACCACTTGAAGGTACTACGTAGTGAAAATTCATTGAATATGATGCCTATACAATGTAAACCGTTGTGACGAAACTGAATGCGAAACTAAAAGACTGAAAATTTTGGCAAATCCAGCACTCACTCTTTACTTGGTGGCTCAAATTACATTTCCAAATCAGAGATCAAAAAGATCACTCTGATTAAGATCATATCAAGAACGAGGTCAAAGCAGAAACCTTTGCAATCCATGAGAACGGTGGCCCAAGATGCATTTATACATTATGATTATAAAGTAAATACACCTTTATTATCAATCTTTCTCCATTACCATTTAATGTTTCGTTAATTCAATGAAATAATTTATGAAGTACTGACATCAACTTTGACCGCTTGATTTCATGTTCCATATTTTTGTCCACCTTTTATTGTCATGCGAGATATCATGTGCTGATATATAATATCAGAAATTATTTCTCCTAACTCAAAATCTCAAGGTGGATGGTCTTCAAACTTGTACCAATCCACCAACCGTGAAAGAAAGAAATGAAGGACAGAATCTTCTTAATCCTTTTACTAGTTCAAAATAAAACCACTTTCACAGAATGAAGCATTGGAACGAGGGTTGCATCAATCTCGGAGAAATTTAAATATTAATAAGGACCTTTCTATATGAACTAATTAGGCATAGAAAAAGTACACATAGAATTTTCAACTCACAGTGAGCAAAAACTTTATCAGGGAGCTTATTGACAAATTGCTCAGCAGCAAACTTCCAATCCGAGGCACTGCAGTAATGTTATCATGACAAGATCAGGCTATGAGCCTAAATACAAGCAAAATCCCCAAAACAGAACTAGCAATCTTATAGGACCAAAAAAGCGAAAGATTAGAATCAAAACATTCAAACCATATTAAGAAAATTGCTGCCGGAACTGAATTCAAGAGTCAAAAGGGGATAAGAAGCTAACCAACGAACTTTCAAAGTTTCAATCTTTCTCTCATATTATATGCTATCCATTCATTCACATGGAAAACACAGAAAAACCTAAATAAATTCACGCTAGTCCATTATTATTTAGAAAGAATACCTTCCGAGAATTCCATGGACCATAATAACAAGATGATCCGCAGACGACTGATTGGATTCTTTACAGCTATACACATCTTCGCCTCCGTTCGCCGTTTCCGAAGAACACACGACGCCGTCTTTCCTTCTTCCACCGTCTTCCATTTTCTCAATTCAATTTAAACGCATCAAATTAGCCTTCAGCAAAATTAAGAAAAAAAATCACAGTTACAGTTAAATGCAATGCTAGTATTAAATATAAATCATATTACGTCGACTTAACTTTCTGCACACGGTCGTGGAGAGAGAGAGAGAGAGAGACGGTGGCGTCGCGAAACCTTTGCATTTAAGGTATGGCACGCACAGTAACAGATCATGTGCTTCGTGTGGGCCCAGGTCGGTTTGCTGTTAGCCTGTTACTGTCTGATAATGTTTTTCTTTTTTAAATTTAAAGAATAATTATTATTATTATCCATTAAAAAATACCAACTAATAATTGGCGCAAAACGTCCATACCTTTAACGGGTTTTATGTAAAATATTAGGGCTGTCCATGGGTCGGTTCGGTTCGGTTCTGAAGATACCCGAACCGACCCAAAACTTTCGGGTATTTAATAAATGGACCCGTCGGGTCCAAATATAATTATGGAACCGTTCGGGTTCGG